GCAGCGGGGACTCGGGCGGCGGCGGTGCGGGTTGGGGAGACTGTGGCGGTGGCCGCCGGGTTCTTGCGCCGCACAAACGCGCCGAACGTCCCCCTGGAAGGAGATTGAGTCACACGCGGGGTCCCTGGCCCAGCCCCATCCCTGGGCCGCCCTCTTGCGCTCCTACCTACCCGGGAGGGGACCGGTGGGGGGCGCCAGCACTGGCGCGGGGCCTTCACGGGTGGCAGGGCTACGGGGTGCAGGGTCCAGAGAGGCCTCGGTGACGCTGCTCAGTAGAGCCAGGGCGGCCAGGGTTGGCCACAGGGCAGGCTGCGCAAGAGACCAACCAAGTGGAGCGTCAGGGAGGAAGAAGATGGCACCGGGCCGGGGCTGCGGAGGGAGGAACTCAGGGAGGGGCTATTTTCAGTCGAGATCAGAGATGGGTGCGGGCTCCTACTTGGGTGGCCGGACTCCGGGAAGAGCTTAGATTCAAGAATAATGGGTGCACTGCTTCTTGGAGCCCAGGGAAAGAATCGCCTGGACTCACGGCCCTTCCAGAGAAGCCCTGTTCCTTCTTTGCGCTTCGTTCCAGCCTCCTGGACTATTTCCCCTCTCACATCTGACCCCTGACCATCTTCTTCCTTCCCCAATCAAGTCACCCTCTCTTGATACCAGCTGGGACTTGCTGGGAAAAATCACTCACCTGTCGATTAGGCCAGGGACAGTAGGGTCTCCAAGCTGTGTGGTCTCCAAGTCCAAGTTCCATCTCTAGCAACACCAGGAGCTCCCATCAGCCTTTGTTGACATGTTTCCCAACCCTCCTCTTGATGTGGTTTGCAAACTGAGGGATGAGTTATCTTTTGGGGAGATCATCCTTCCACCTAAGTGTCTCTAAGCTAGGAGATTTGGGTAGCTAGATTCAAACTCAGCAGAAGTAGTTGCATTGAGAACCTTACTTATGTGTAACATGGAGCTATTTCCTCTTTCACAACTTCATGAGGTAAATGGTTTAATTTCTTTTTTCCAGATTAGCAAACAAGACTAGAAGAAGGTCAGAGATTGTCTAAGGTCACAAGTGTAGAGCCACATAGCTGTGATGAGAGGGGATCTGTTTGCCAGAACATTTCTGCTCTGTGGTGTAGGCCTGGAGCTTCCAGGACTGGCTGGAGGTAGTAGCTGGCCACTCTAGGTCCTACATCGAGCCTTTACATCACAGGGAAGGAAGCAAAGGCCTGGGGAATTAAGAGTGTCTGATGGTCACTCTGAGGGTTATTTAATGGCAGTAAGGCCTGTGTAACTTGCTCCTTTGTCATTTCTATTCTGGACCACTTCTGCCCTCTTTTCTAATCACAGCTGTCTCTTAGAAGCCAGATTACTGGGGTTGATGGTCCATCTGAAAACACAAGGACTGTGCCATGACTCCTGATGGCCACCAGGGGGCAGAGTCTGCCAGTCCGTGCAGACCTCAAAGGGGGAGGTGGGCTTTAAAAGTACCCTCAGAGCTCTCAGGTCTCAGCCTCTCCCCCTCCTTTTACCCTCCCCCACCCCAGAGAGCCAGCCAACCCTCCATAGCAGCCTGGCTGTAAAGCTGAGCTACTCTTAGAGCTGATTCAGGCCTGCCATCTCCTGTAGGGCCCAGCCTTGTGCTTCGTTTCCCCCACCAACCATCCGTCCCCATACCAGCTAGCCTGCTTGAGTGCTGCCAGCTTTTGTGAGCTTCACTGGCCTGCGCTCTCAAGCCTTGGGGACCCCCAAGCCATGAGGCCTCCTTAGCTAGCCTCCTCCTTGTGGGTCACAGCACACAGAATGGCTGCACATCTGTGGGACAGACCGCCCACTTCCTGTAGTAAATGGTCCCCCAGGGCCAGGTGCGTGCCTGTTGGCTAACTGGACTCAGGCCGGGCACCGTCCTCAGGGATGGAGGGCAGGCCCGGCCAGGCAGCCTCTGCGCTAGGGGGCGCCCAGGAGCACGTCGTTCTTCCTGCCTGCCAGGCCGGCTGCCGGGTCCTCCCGCGGTGGCCATGCCGCTCCCCGGCCCACTACTCACCACGGGGGGTCCCGCACGAGGTTTCTTCTAGGCGCCTTTCCCGGGGCCAGTGCTCGACTTCCTCCGGCAGCTCGGGTGGCTCATGCCCAGGGCTGTGCACCTGGCGGCACCTCTTCTAGCCCAAAGTGAGGCCGCGGCAGCCGGTCCGTGCCCTGCAGTGGCAGCGGAGCAGCAGGGCTCGCACAGTCTAACCCGGGGACTGGAAGGGCTGGGAGGGGCGGAGGGCTGTGCTGAGGGCCCGGGAGAGGGAGGATGAGAGCGAGAGGAGGAAGGCCGTCCTGTCCCTTCCCCCGGCCCCGGGAGCCTCCACTTTAGGGGTGGGCAAACGGCGGGCTTACCTCGGGCGCGGGGCTCCGAGCCCCAGTGGCAGCCAGGGCTGGGGCCCGAGGGACTTGCTGCTGGCGGGGCCCGCGGGCCGTGTCTGGGGGCCGAGCCCAGCTCCATCCCTTAGCAGCCTCCTGCCTGCCGCCGTCCGGTGTCAAATTCCAGCGCCGGCGTCACCGGATCCCGGGGTGGGGCCCAGGGCGCCCCCGCCCCGCCCCACCTTTCAGGGCTCACCTGGCCTCCTCACCCACCGGATCCGGCCCCCACTGGCTGGCCTGGGTCCCCCGGGTGGGAGGAGCGCGCGGGCTGCGGACGGAGACCGGGAGTTGGGAGGGAGTTTGTGGACTCGCGAAGTAGGGGGGCCCGTGCCCAGGGCAGGCCGGGCTGGCTGCCGCGCAGACCTGGGGTGCTGCCCGGCCGGCTGCCCCGCAGGACGGCCGCGCTCCCGGGACCCCCGCTAGCCCCTCTCTCAGGAGATGGCGCATCTGACCCCCGCTCCCCGGGCGGCCCATCTTTACCCATGTGTACTAGGGCTTTCCGGGTTCGGGTCTGGTTGTCCCGCCGCCCCGAGCCAGTGGGAGGGCAGCGGGCAAGGCCACGGTCTCTGCGGTGTAGTGAAGGCGGCACGGGTGGGAAGCCCGAGGCCAGGCAGCGTGATTTCAGGTGCCTGATTCCGGCAATGCAGCAGGTGTCTGGAAGGTTAGCGGAGTACTGTAGCCCTGAAGGGCCCACCAGGGAGTCTGGCTTTATCCCAAAGATGCTGCAGACCACTGAAGAGGTCTGAGCAGAATGTGGTCAGACATGCATTTTTGAGGTGACTGTGGAGAACAGCTTGGACACAAAGGAGACAGAGGCACCGTTCGGGAGTTGCTAGGGACAGAAGATGGAGCCTGAGCAGGCCAGTCTTCAACACACCCTTTTGGGAACTGGAGCTCAAGAGGTAGAACTGCTGCCTTGAGCAAAAAAGCCAAGTGAGAGCTCAGGGTTAGTTTGAACTCAGTATTCCCCTCTCCACCAAAGGAACTTAAGAGCTCAACATACCCTTTTTGAAAATTCGGTTGGTGCCTTGCTAGATGGGGTGAAGAGGTAAAAAGGACAAAGGTGTGCCTGGGCGTTGTCCTGGGTGAACACGTGGGGCAGATGCATTCTGGAAGCCAGAGCTCCCTGGGGGGAGGCACAGTTTGGGAGCCAGAGCCTTTGAGTTCAATGTTATACATGCTGAGTTGGAAAGGCCCGTGTATTCTCCTAGTGAAAATATTCTGGGAACAGCTGAATTTTGTAGCCTGGAGCAAAGTGTTGGGTTGGTGATGCCAACCTGAGAACTGCTGACCAACTGACACATAATTGGAAGCTGTGGGTGGGGACAAGTGCTCAGGGAACGTGTGTGGACCAGCTGTACCCTGGTTATGCATGAGAACCATTGTGGATCTTGAAGAACTACCCACATCCGGGCCCCACCCCAGAGGTGAATCAGAATCTCAGGCTAGGCAGGTAGTTTTCCAGATCGGCACAGGTGATTCTGGTACATAGCCAGGGTTCCGAAACATAGGTTTTATGAGTTTTATACAGTGCCAGGGACAAGACTCCCCACAGTCTGAAGTCAGACTACACAGAAATGCTGCTGCTAGGGGCTGTTTGCAGGCTCCCTAGGGCAGGAGGCCAATTGGTGAGAGCTTGCTCTCTCATAAGCAGCTGGCCAGTTGGAGCAGCTTCTCTGGGGCTTTTAAACCTCAGGATCTCTACTAACAATCACGCAGTCTAGGCCCTGCAAAATTCTAATAGAACCATCCAGGTAGGAGCTGGTACATTTGAGTTGTGAAAGAGGGACCATTTCCAGCAGAGTATGGGAGGTATTCCTGAATCTGCTTGTCATTGTCAGGGTCTTACTTCCCCTGAGCTGAGGAGGCTTCTGCCTGAGGACAAACCATAAAAACACAATATCCAGAATGACTGGTGACTAGGACAGCTACGTCTTTTTATCTCGAGGCTTACCAGTGGGGAGACCAAGGGCTACATCAATTCTGGGATTTACACTGGCACCGTGTCTGAGACCTCACTTATTGCCACAGGGCCAACATCCTGCAGGAAGCCGACTCCCTTGGCCACAGGTACAGGATGAGAGGTCAATTCCTAGGGCTCTAAGGTGAGGGTGGACTATCTTTTCTAAAATTCCCCAGGGGATGCATAGGGATGGGCTGTGTGCCTTCTTGTTGGGTGTGTGTGTGTACGGGGGTATTGAGGGGCAGTGCATGCCTGTGTGATAATGGTGGAGGTGGCGCATGTCTATGGGCCAGGGCCTCCAGCTGGTCTGTCTTCAGGCAGAGGATACAGAGCTATGGCAGATAGGGAGATGCTCTAGAGACCTCTATGTGGCTACCAGGTCCTGCGCTTAACATGAGATGTGAAAGAGAGCCAGGAATCTGGCTGGAGATAAGGCCCTTGGGTTTAGCAGAGTTGCCGAGGCTCTGGTTCCTGTTTCTTCCAGAAGAGTCAGAGAACGGAAAAGAAGGCCGGGTTCAGGGAAGAGCTTTATTGCTTCCGTGAGAGTTCTCTGGCATGGCTTCCAGTCTGGTTAAGGTCCTTGGGTCTCACTTCCTTTCTGGTTCAGGTTAAAGGCAGAACCCAAGGACCTGACAGTCTCATTGTGGAAACCCAGAACAACTGACAAGTTGGTCAGTCCAGGGGCAATGTCCTCTGATCAATACAGCTAGTGGGGGAGAGCCATTCCCGTCAGGCTGAGCTGGGCCTCCCTTCCTGAGCCTGACAAAGTTCTGCTCTATTTTGTTGGCTCCAAGGGATGGTTCCAGGGTTTCCCTGTGGGATATCATGGGGGCTGGTGAGTGGGCAAACCCATCTTCTCCCCAAGGGAGGCCAAACAACGTCATGGGCTGGAAGGTGCTGGCATGAGAAGCTGCCCACCTCCTTGTGGCTCCTGAGTGGGGCGCAGGCTGGACATGGCGCTCCTACCCTTGAGAGCTCACCAGTACCACTGCCTGATGAGCCCTCTAGAGGGCCTCTTTCTGCAAGGCAAATGGCCCGATCTTGACATTTCCAACCTTATTTAAAAATAAATTATCCCTCCCCTCCCCCTACCCAAATTCACGAAATGATAATACATCAAACACTGATTTAGAGAAATGATTCCAGCAGCAGCCATGCGGCCTTGTGTCCCACTTCCTGCATGCTGAGCCTGCTGGGCACATCCGGGGCCTCCTGGCCCTCTGGCTTCACAGACCCAGACTAAGAGACCAAGTGCTGGTCTCTGAGGCTGGCCTTGAACAGACATAGCTCTGGCTGCTTTGCCAAGGCTTCACTGCTCCTGGGGCCCCTTGGCACTGTCCTTCTCTGGGTCTGAAGACTCAGGCACAGATGGCTGTTCCTTTCTCCTGGCGGAGCTTGAGCCTCTATGGTCAAATGTTGGGTCCACTCAGATGCCACTGCTGAGGTCAGTGATGACACGTGCTTTCACTAGCTTC